GCATGATTCAATTGACTCACAATCAAAAGAATCAAGAAGTCCATCAGAAGGAAGCTTCGTTATGCGTTTCTCGTTGATGTGGCCAAGTCGACAAGCCAGAGATAGGTCGGGTTTAAGTCGTTCGGCTTAAACCGCTTGGTACTAACACTATAGATCGACCTGTATCCGGATGGTTCATCTTCCAAAATATAAAGGCCATTAAACTGGTAACCCTTACCATAGAATAAATCGCCTCTATAAATGGACAGATATTTGTTCTCAATAACAAATCTGAAACCATCTGAGTCTAAATATGAAATCGATATGATGTTCCTACTGATGGCAGGTACAAAATAACAATCATGCAGCTCCAATACTAGGCCAGAAGGTAAAGTGAGATCGTAAGTCCCGACGGTTAATGCAGCAACTCTTGCTCCATTCCCGACGCGGAGATCTACTTCTCCCTTCGCCAATTGTCTACTTCCTCGCAGTCCCTGCACATTTGCACAAATGTGTGAAGCACATCCGATATCTAATACCCATGACGTAGAAGTACACAAGTTAGCCTCTATAATGAAGATACCAGAAGTTGAAGCTTCTGCAAGCTTTTTCTTTCTTTGATCTTCCAGGTGAAGATACCAGAAGTTGAAGCTTCTGCAAGCTTCTTCTTTCTTTGATCTTCCAGGTAGAGTCTGCAATTTCTATACCAATGCCCATCAGCATGACAGAAATAACACTCTTCCTTCTTGGGTTTGGGCTTAGGCTTAGTGCCAACATTTGTCACTTTTCTCTTGCCCTTACCTTTAGAACGCTTTCTTTTGCTGGAACTCTTTCCAACAACCACCATATCATTCTTCCCTTGGCTCCCAGCTTTCTCTTGGAATGACATATTCAACTGATCAACCATCAATGAATTACCCATGTCATCTAATTTCTCACGCAATTCTGAAGACATCTTTCCAAGCATCAAGCTGGACACGACCAGATCATCATCCTCATGCTTCCAATAAGCATCAATGATCGATCCATAATCTGTGGTCAGAGACTTATCCTTCACAAGGATAGATCGCATGGTGAGATTAACCAGATTCCTGCAACAGATATGCACTACAGTAAAAGACAAACAAACAGACAGAAGATATGCAAGTCGCTTAGTACTCATACTAACACAGCCAATAGATGCAATATGACAGGCTCCCACTAAGAAAAACACCCTCAATGAGTTTCTACGTGAGCTAGGATCCATATTTCACATGCTTTTGAGTCAGCTAGGGCATGACACTCAAACCCATGCTATTTAGGTAGACAACACTTTGTCAATCGCATCCTATGTGATTCCTAGATGAGTATGGGATAGTGATACGCTATCACTGCATGTTCCTCATCCCATCCTTACCATCAGGTCCAAGTCCGACTTGAGAACCCAATTCAAGCTCAACCATATTCGAGCTATGAGAATCACGATTTCTCCATACTGCCTCACCAAGATAGTCAGGCACGCTCAGGTAGGGCATGACCCGTAACCATGACGATCGAGGCCTTGACAGTTCCTCTACTAATGGGCGGTAACAGCTTGAGATTGCATGAGGCATAGGTGACTTGAACACCAGGATATCTTAACTGAATTCAAGTCAGTTCAGTCAAGTTGTTCTAATCAACTCAGTTGAACTACACTTAGTTCTTTGAACAACACTTAGTTCTGTTGAGTCGTCTATGTACAGAATTCCTTGGCCAAACAACAATTGTTTGCCTTAGATTCGATACCAGAACCCTCTCAATATCCTAATCTTAACTGAATTCAAGTCAGTTCAGTCAAGTTGTTCTAATCAACTCAGTTGAACTACACTTAGTTCTTTGAACAACACTTAGTTCTGTTGAGTCGTCTATGTACAGAATTCCTTGGCCAAACAACAATTGTTTGCCTTAGATTCGATACCAGAACCCTCTCAATATCCTAATTCAGATATTTGATTCGAGACAACGATTGCACAATCAAAACTCTAAATTCTGGATTGTCATTAAGCTTGGTCTTATATGAGGCTTTGATTCCAATTCTGATAATTGATCCGATACAACGATTGTTCGATCAAAAACCTGCTTCAGACGAGTACCCATGATTGTGATTTGCATCCAATGCATATGATCATCATCATCAATCACACATCATGCTGGTCTTAATTCATCACTGTTCCCACAATGACAACTGACCAGGGATTTTAGAATCATGTTCAATGATTCAAGGATATCTACCGAAATATAACAAACATGCTAATCATATCACGGGAAAAGTAATGCATTCATAAACCAATGAATAAATACATAGTCAAAAAGTCATATCACGGATCATCGTAGAGCATTACAACCAACAATAAAGCACATATTCTCGCACAAGGTTTCTCTCAAAGATCTGGAATAGATTATGAGGAAACGTATTCTCCAGTCATGGATGCGATTACGTTTAGATATTTGATAAGTTTGACAACTTCCAAGAATTTGGAAATGTATCTCATGGATGTTGTCACAACATATTTATATGGGTCTTTGGAAAATGACATATATATGAAAATTTCTGAAGGATTGAGAATGCAAGGCGCATTAAATTCAAAGTCCAAGAAAACATATGTGATCAAATTACAACGATTCTTATATGGATTAAAATAATCTGAATGCATGTGGTCTAATCGCTTAAGTGAGTATTTGCTGAAAAATGGATACGTTAATAACCCCATTTACCCATGTGTATTCATTCATCTAGAAAACAGATAGCGGCTTTGTGATTATAGCAGTGTATGTGGATGATCTAAACATAATTGGAACTCCAAAGAAAATTGAAAATGTCCAAAATTATCTCAAAGGAGAATTTGAGATGAAAGATTTGGGACGAACAAAGTTTTTGTCTTAGACTACAAATAGAACATCTTCCTAGCGGAATACTTGTTCGTCAGTCCAACTATACCAAAACAATTCTGAGGCATTTTAACATGGATAAATCAAATCGCTTAAGTACTCCAATGGTTTGTAGATCCCTAAATATTGAAATAGATCCATTTCGCCCTTGTGAAGATAAAGAGGAGGTATTCGGTCCTGATGTACCGTATATGAGCGCGATAGGAGTATTATTGTATCTTACTAACTGTACTCGCCCAGATATAGCATTTGCTACTAATCTTTTAACAAGATATAGTTCATCTCCAATAAGACGACATTAGACATGGATCAAACATATCTTTCGTTATTTACAAAGAACGATTGATTAGAGATTATTTTATCCTAGGGATTCAAAACTTGAGTTAATCGGTTTTGCAGATGCATGCTATTTATCTGGCCCTCACAAAGCTCGATCACAGACTGGATGTGTTTTCACAATTGAAGATACTGCAATATCCTGGCATTCTCAGAAACAAACATTGGTTGCAACATCTTCGAACCACGCTGAAGTCATTGCACTTCATGAAGAAAGTAGAGAATGTGTGTGGCTCAAAGCTGTAACCCGCCACATACAAGAAGTATGTGGGTTACCGATTAATATCAATCCAACGATATTATTCGAAGATAATGTTGCATGTGTTGCCCAAACCAAAGAAAGATACATAAAGAATGTTCGAACGAAGCATATTCCTCCGAAATATTTATCTTACACTCAAGAACTCGAAAAGAGCAAGGAAGTTGATATCCGTTATATCCGATCAAGTGACAATATAGCTGATTTATTCATAAAGGCACTCCCTATTTCAACATTCAAAAAGCATATCCAGAATATCAGAATGCATCGTCTTCGAATTTTATGAAGAAATATATGTATATTGATTCAAGGGGAGATTGTAAGACTGTACTTTTTTTTTCTCGTCATGGTTTTTATCCCATAGGGTTTTTCCATGATAAGGTTTTTAACGAGACACTCTATACTAGATGTCCAAGGGGGAGTATCATATATATACGTGGACATCTAATGGAACCCACATCATCTAGTGGGATCCACATTATACTTTTTTTTTTACTATGAAGCAACGTCTTATATTTTCCAATAAATATGAGAATGATGTACTTCATTTGTGAGATACGAAATATGAAGAAATTTTTCTCTCTCTTTTTAGTATTCCACTATTGTTTTTTATCTTTGATTTTCAATAAGTATTACATTTTTGGAAAACCACTTTGTAGGTTTGGGCCTGGCCACTCTTTTCTTACATAATATATACCTTAATAAATATTTCTTTGTTTTCGTACTTTTTTTTCTATATTTATTCATTTGCATTTTTTTCTATTCGATCTAATTAATATATATATATATTTTTTGTTAATCAAGAAGTTCACCGTACCTTTGACTCGACTACATCTCCCATAAGACCGGTTGAGCCCATGTAAATACTCTTCTCCAACCTCAGAAATCGAACAGCGACGTAAAGGCACGTTGACCAATACGCCAACTACTCGCCCACGTGGTTGGGTCTAATCTAATTAATATATTGGTCTACACTTTCTCTTAGGTTTTTTTTCTAATAATATATACTTTCCTTTTTTGTTATCTTTAATAGTGAATATGGACATTTTTTGTCTATATTTTTCCTAAATCACATCGGAAAGTAATTACATTTTCTTATTTCTGTTAACAAATTTTCCATGTTTAACCTTAATATGTTATTTTTCCAATTTCTTTTTCCAACAATACATGTATGTCGGAAGCTTGTAATAACATTAAAAAAAATATAAAAAAAAATACATAAGGACACTGGGTTTTCAAGAACATCCACAACATATTAGCATGCTCCACCCAAGAACGAATCCATCCTGGTTAAAAACTTTGCCAAAAAGATAATGAAAAATATATCAGCTTTGTCAAAAAAAAAAAAAAACAAGGACTGTTCAGAAATACAACCAAACTTGGAGATTTACGGTAATTTATTGTCCCGCGAAACGGTCACCGGAATCAGGTTCGTGTAGCAATTTCCGTTTTGCAGAAAGGGCATTTCCGTCATTCTGTATTTCGATTGCAACATATCCTCACTCTCATCTGGAAAAAAAAATAAACGGAACAAAACAGAATCCACAAAAAACAAACCGAGAAGAAATAAGAGGGAATTAGAGCATCTGAAAAAACAATATTACAGGAAAAAAGAGAGAGAAACAGAGAGAACTAAGAAGAAGAAATGGCCACCATTAGAGTCCCAGATGTTGTTCCTTCTCCAGACCAAGATTGTGAAACTCTGAAGAACGCTTTCAAGGGTATATACACACACTTTTACACACACACACGTGTACGTACTATGTGTAATTACACATTTTTTAGGTGTGTTGAGTCGATTTGATGCATTGGTCTGGTTCTTATCTCTGAATCGATTCCTGGGTTTTGTTGTTTTCGGACAATTTCTGTAATCCTTGCTTTGGCTACGCTTCTCGAGGTACTTATAATCACTTTGTACTCGCTCATGTGTATGTACTACGTACAAATACACTTATGCTCGTATATCTGGTTGATTTGATGTTTATCTCTGAATCGATATCTGGGTCTTTTAGGACTAATTTTCCGTTTTCTTGCTCTGAGATCGTAAAAATTTGACACGATTTTTCAGTTCGAGTTTTTTTTTCCAGTGATTATGGTGAAAGCATGAGATAGTGAAAGGTGAAATCTGGATTTTGTAGGATGGGGAACGGATGAGAAGGCCATTGTAAGAGTTTTGGGACGAAGAAATGCGAGTCAGAGAAGGAAAATCAAGGAGACATACAGAGAGATTTACAACAAAGATCTCATTGATGAGCTCTTCTCCGAGTTGTCTGGTGATTTCTTGGTAGGTCAAGAACTTCTCATCCACTTTTTCACCAAACAGATCAAGATTCATTAGAACATTGCCAAGGAGATGTGAACCTGAGCATTTTGTAGTCTTTAATTCACTGTTTACAATGTTGTCTCTAGCGAAAATTGGATGAAACCTTCAGTCGTTGTAGATTTTGAACTGGTTTTTTTAAAATAATGCCCATTCCCATCATTGGACTAACGCTTAATCCCCGGCATTGGAGACACACAAGATAACTATCTCTTTCACTCCGATCGATTCTAGCGTGCAAACGCACAGAAGTGATGATCACGATGTTAAAAATGTAGAAAGCTGTGACTCTATGGACGTATGATCCAGCGGAGAGGGATGCCAGGCTGGCAAACGAGGCGTTGAAGGTGAAAAAGAAAGGCATAAAGCATCTGAAACCGATAGTGGAGATCGCCTGCACGAATTCTCCAAACCATCTGATTGCTGTGAGGCAGGCTTACTGTTCTCTCTTTGAGTCCTCCATCGAAGAAGACATTGCAGCCTCCGTGCCTCTTCCCCTTGCAAAGGTGACAAAAAATCTTTTTCTAGTTTCTTGAAATACCCATTATCTTATTATAATCTCCTAGATCATTTACGCGTTTTCTAATGTTGGAAGTCATTCTTAGGTTGTATCACGTCACGGGTTTCAAAGTTTTGTGCTTTCCTCTCAAAACTCTGGTTTCTGATTCTTGTCCGAACGAGGAGTAGGGTAATTTCTAGTTCTGTGTAGGTCCTGGTGAGTTTGTTCAGTTCATACAGATATGACAAAGAGAAGGTGATACAGAAGTAGCTGATAAAGAGGCAGTTATGCTACATGAAGGAATTGAAAACAAGCGACTAGATCACGACCAGATCATGTACATACTCGGAACCCGGAACTTCTATCAGCTCAGATCGACTTTCGATGCATATAAGCAAAAATACGGGAACATGATCGCCAAGGTTCAGATCCTTGTGCCTGTCTGGATTTATTATGTTCACTGTCTTTTCTTATTTGTTCATCTGTTATCTTTGGATCATTTTCATTGACACAATTGCTGTTGTTTTGATAGGACATTGACAGATGCCTCGGGGATGCGGATCTGAGATCTGTTTTGCAGATGGCTGTCTTGTGCATAGATTGCCCAGAGAAACACTTTGCAAAGGTACTACTGGTTTCACTTGGCTGTTATATCTGTTGTCTTAATGATAAAATTATCCCGGTTGAGCTATCAATCAATAATCAAAGGTGAAGCCGATGATTCTAAGATCTGTTTATGGTTTGATGGAAATCAGACAAGACTATAATCGAAACTGCAGTTCCACCAATTCAAAGATTGACATAAAAACCCTCAAGATGTCCATTGATATTACCAGTTTCTAGTACTCAAAGGAATCAGCAGTAAACAAATCTGAAACCTACTTTGTTCAAGTCAAGCGAACAGATTATAGATCCTCGCATTAGTGGTTTTTCTCCAACTGGGTTTTCAGGTTATAAGAGAATCCATCGAGGGTTTTGGAACAGACGAAGATTCGCTGACGAGGGCGATCGTGGCACGAGCTGAGATCGACATGATGAAGGTACGAGGAGAGTATTTCGACATGTACAAGACAAGCGTGGACAACGAAGTCAGTGGCGATACATCTGGAGATTACAAGGACTTCCTCATGACCTTACTTGGATCCAAAATCTGATGTTTCTTTGGTGTTTTGCCAGTTTGGCCTCTTGAACCTTTGCTTACATATCCTGTCTTGTCTTGTAATTGATGTAATATAAACGTCACGTTTCTTTAGATATGCATGGAAGACAGACTTGCCCCAAACAAATGACATGGTATGTTTCATTCGTCTTACCAATATCATTTGTAGCCATCTTTACATGTACCACAGTTTCTAATGAAACGGAATCATAGGAATTTAGATACATCTCGTGACTTTTTCAATACTGAAAAGATTTGAAACAGAGAGCACACATAGGAGAAGTATGTTCAGTGACATAACCGTTAAACCACGTATGAAGATATCAGACACGTTTTATGCCAAACCGGACAAATTTTTTTTTTTCCATCTTCTGAGGAACTGAATCTATCTGTAATATCCTTTAGAATTGAAAAGGGTGAGTACCTGAACAGGGAAATGTTTAAATGATGGGTTGCAAATTGCAAACAATCTTAATCAGTGAAAATGCAAACTATCATGTCGGTGAAAACGGAGAAAACGCAGCATCAGTGAAACAAACCATCTGGTTAATGGACAGTACACCAAGAAAGTTAGATCTTCAGTCAAAGTCACAACCATCTCAAATGAACCAACGAACGAGGTAGCAGCCTTATTGTCGTAACTCACTTTCGTCAATAAATGAACAAAAGGAAGACTTGTAATGAAAAAATCTCACAATTGAAATGCAATATGAAAACAAAAGGGAGACAGGGCAAGAGCTCATGAGGCGTCAAATACCATATTCTAGGGAGGTGGTTTACAACTTCAAGGTCAGATGAACTTGCATATAACATAAAAGAGCCAAGTCCAAATGTTTCGTCATAGAGACATTAATACTGAAGCTGCTGAGTTCGAACTGGACATTACAATTTTAAATGGTTCTATCATTCAGGAGGAAATACCATAATAAACCATCCAAACTGAAACTTCAGCCATATAAGCGTTTACCACTTCATTTTGTGATCACAATCTGTCTTTCCATGCTCCAAACTTATCTTCCCCAAGTTTTGGCCTCTAAGTGGAAGGTTGTAAGTTCACAGGTCCTGTCCTTGTTTTTTCGAGGGCTTGAATAAGCAGGAGAATCCGTCCTTTCTCTGCTTTAGCTTTCATCGGCCTTCCCATTCTCAGGCGGTACATTGTTTTCACTGCTTGACCCATTTTCTATATCCATATCGACTCTTTCCTCAGTTGTTTCATCTTTTGTACCATCAACCACACCATCCGAGTCTGCAGCTCGATCTGGCCGGGTCTTGCGATCATCGGTGTCCTCAGAAGGACCATCTACAGGAGGCACCGATTCAGTTTCCATGTCACCGTCCTCAATGACACCATCTTCTGTGTATGGAGTGTAATGTTGGTATTGTGCCTGTTAGAAATAAACACAGAAGCAGCTGTCATATGATCTGACGTATCAACGAAACGAGGAGATTAATATGATGTTCCCAACTTAATAGATAGCAAAGAATACTGTAACAAGCCTCACCAAGATAGAATTTCTTGCAGTTTGCATCGTATCAAACAAAGAATTTGCGGGCATACCTGATATAACTGATTCATCCTATCGTGGATAATGTGTGCCATCTCCTCTAGATCACGTACAATGTAAGGATTCCCGACGTCTTGAACAGCACGCTCGGTGAATGATGTGTTCTCAGTCAAGTTTAGGGCAAGCTGGTCAGGTCTCTTGAGAAGAAGTTGAAATGTGGGCTGAAGCTCATAGCACTGTTCGAAGAGAGAACGGCGGCAAAACACATACAGACCAAGCCGAGCACGGGACATGGCAACCACCAACCTCCGAACATCGCGAAGATGACCCACAAAGCGTGAACGTACGAGAGAAAGCAAAATAAAATCATTTTGCTGTCCTTGGAACTTGTCAACTGTTGTCACCTGAAGAAACATAAGAAGAAGTCAAGACAAAAATAACAACATCCCACTCGATACTCTTATATCCAAATCCTATGGAGCTCCAGGCAAAGAAAAAAAAAAAGAGCATCATTTAACTAGCTGATATTGAAAATTACTGCAAATATACGAAATACAAAGCATGCAGGCATGTGTAGTGCATCATTTTATTCAGTTATATTGCTGCTCAGATTAATATCACCACAGATTAAGTCATTTTACCATAGGCTCTCCACCGAAGAGTAAAGTTAGATATTTACCTTACTGGGAGGACCAATGAAAGGATATGGAGCACATCGACGATTGATGACATCACGGATTAGGAGCTTCTGCCCATTATAGGTTGTCAAAATTGATATCTTATTTGCAGGGTAGCCTAACAATCGCATGTATATATAGACACTGACAATATACTCAGCTTCTCCTTGATTTTGATAAAACCATGGAGAAGGTGTGGATTCTCCTCTTCCCTCGTAATCAGGCACATCCACCAATTGATATTCATATGAGAACCCAGCATTTGCTCTATGAAAGATGGGTGCTTCCTTCACGAAAGGAAGGTCTCCTAAATCTCGGTACCTCCAGTTGTAGAGTTTGGCCAAGCTTGGCCTGGCTCTACCTTGAGCATTGAGCTCAATATAAGGAATACCAAGACGAACAAACCTTGTAAACAAACTCTGATCCATGTGACTGTACTTCTGGAAAGCCATGTTCTTCACTACAGGAGGCAGCTGGTGGTGATCACCAATCAGTATACAACGTTTAAGCCGTGCATGACCATCTTCCTGCTTCTGCAGCAACATGGGAATGAAAGTTTCGATTTCCAAAATCTGAGCACTTTCTTCCATCAATAAGTTATCATACTTAAAGCCCAACTGCAGAAAATCTCTCCTCTTCAGTGCCGCATGAGTACAAGTCATTGCCACAATCTTCGCTTGCTTGGTCATCAGATAATGAGCTCGGTCAGCAGTTGACTTGAGTAGTTCAAAGGCTCTACATTCTTCTAGCTCTTGGAACATGGTCTTGAGATGTCGAAAACAACCTTTAGCTGCCCTCATGTCTTTCTCAAATGAGTCCCCAGAAAAAACAGGCTTAGGGGTGTCTGAGAAGAATTCTTTGAATGGGAAGCGGTCTTGGACAAAAGACGGTTTGTCTTCATTTCCGGCACAAGCAGCAAGGAATTGCTCCCAACGAGAGTAGACATGAAGCAACCAGAAATACCCAGCTGTTTCACAAGTATAACCTACATCCTCTGGAAGCTGAAGAGACCTTGCTAATCTCTCAACCTCGCTAAGCAGTTCTAGACGCCTAACAAGCATTGCATTCACACGGCCTTGCCTGCTAAAGTCAAGATCAGTCGCAAGCTCTTGTTCACCTTGACCTAGACGAAGTAGATAACGTGCCGGCACATCCCTCTGAAAACCAGATACATACAAAATGTGTGGGTGAGAGTACCGACAGAAATAAGAATTACAGTAATAACCCAAAATAACAGAAGAAGGATCAGTCAATAATAATACCTCCATAATCTTCTCAAAAAGATCATTCAGTGCCTGATTTGAATGAGTGATAATTAAAGTTCTTTGAGAAGGGCAGTTGTGATATAGAACATTCAAGATCTGCACTGCAGTGTCAGTCTTTCCAGTACCTGGTGGACCAACCACCATAGTAAGTCCAGGCTGAATACCAGAGATAATCGCTCCCACCTGCAGAAAAAGAGAAAACATAGTTGAACAACCAGGTGCAACTAAGAGATTACAGTATTGTTTCAACACCAAATGAAGTTGTATAAGAACCCAAATGGTGAATTCATAAAAAAGGGCATTCTGTTGACGATCAATACTATCAATGCAACCTTTTGGGTAGGTATGTTAGGACTCTAAGGTCTAATCACATGGCATTCTCTATTAAAGTGGCATAGGAATAATGACGAGATTCCATCTAAAGCAGTCAAAGAGATTGAATTATGCCAGATGATTGAATATTTAAAGCAAGGAACAACCATATCAATTTATCATACCTGTGTAGGTGTGAATCTAACAGAGTTTTGCTTCGGCTGATCTTGAGGATAAGGCCCAGGGTCGGGTGGAATATACGTCTCAACAATGAATTTCTCCTTAGAGGAAGCACCCACCATATCAACATCATGCGCAGGATTAGCTTCAGATACCTTATTTCCAGGGACAGCATTTGCATTGCCCTTTAGAGTCTTTGGAAGATTGATCCGAAAAGGAGGCCTCGGCTCCAAATTTTCGGAACCATCAGGATTTGTAAATGATACCTGAAGTAAATTGAGATATAAGAGACGCATAAATGAAGCGATACAGATGACATAATATTATACCAAGGAGAAGCAGCACCAACCTCATAATTTGAAAAGCTTTCTCTGAGATGATCTGCATCAAGGAAAGTATCTTTGAAGTCCACAGACTCCAGAAGGTCTGGCATATTAGCCCACTGGGCAGCAGATGGGTTCCCGTAACCGAGGAATACATTATGCAACCAATCCGGAACAACACAATATTCATTCATGAGATCTCTGATGGATTCCAGAATAGCCTTGAAGTTATTCTCCTTTGGTTTCCTCCTCACTAAAACATTAAATGTGCTATAAACATCCTCAGCACCTTTCTCCGCGATATCTGTAACATCTATGTGATACTGTGCAGTATCCAAAGCGATGGTCACAGTTCGGAATTCACCTTTTGGGGGCTTCCACTCTTCTCGTTTAACTCTTCCACTAAAATCATTCATCAGATTACCCTCCTCGTCACGGATTTCAATGATTTCACATCCTCGAACATACTGAAGTCCAAGCCTCTGTGGGACTGTAGCTTTGGCAGCTTCGTCTGCACTCAGTGGCTCAAATGAGGGACGAATAGACAGCAAAAACAATACATCGTGCTCCTTAAGGGCATCCCATTCAGATCTTATCTGTGATCTGTAACTCCTAATGCTGAAAGTAACTTCTGCAGTCACAGATGAAGGCTTCTCTTCTCCGATATTAGGCTGCTTCACCTCTGTAATCTTGAATTCCTTAATGGGTACTGCCATCCGTGACCAACCACGAAAAGCAGTTTCTCCCTCATTATTTATGTGTGCAAGAAGATGTGGTACAGATTCCTGTATATCTTCACGAATCTCGTATGTAGATTCAAGTCGGAAGAGATTGAAATTTCGAAGAAGATAATCATGGAGAGTTAGAAACTGTAGATTAAGCTTCGGAAGAGCAAGACAACCTTCCCCGGAATAATTAATGCTTGGAATAACACTTTCATCCCACATAATCTGCTCATTTGGGTACAATGGAAGAGCATTTATGGCTTCTTTCTGGGACTGTTGCTTCTCAAAAAAGGAGATGACGACCTCAGTAAGAAAATTCTTATTGTTTGCCCAAGGATCATGTTTTGAAAGCAGTTTGAGCTGCACAAGAACAACCACGTTACATTAAAAACCTGAAAAAACACATGCAGAGCATATCTTTCTCATGCAAAGCATATTTTGCTACATTACCAACCGGACATATTACCAACCGGACATATACTGATCTAGTGGACCCAAGACAGGTTAAGGCCTATTAACAAATACCATAGAAGAGAAATAAAAAGTAGATTCCAGTTACTGGAATGTACTTCCATATAAATTCTCTTTTCAATTCATCATCAATTCTTTACTGACTCCTCAACACATTTTACAAGAGATTACACATCTAGATATTTTCCACTATTGTCATACACATTTTCTTTTGATATGTATGAGGTTACCATGCATCTCTTCACTGATCCACAAACCTATTTAAATGTAAACATAGATTTTGTATTGTTGTTTCTCTAACCAATTTCTAAACGGAAGTAGCCACAACTGACAAATATCAGACCCAAAAATGCAAACAAAGGAAGTGAAAGAGAATGGATACCACCTTAGGTTTCCCAGCATGACTCAATGATGAAATTAAAAATTCCTCATTCGGAATTTCTACAGTGTTGCATAAAGATAATACCATTATATAATGGGGTCAACCAAGAAAACAATATTTTCACAGATACAAACCTTAGCACAGACCACGTCCTTCAACTCTTCAAGAGTAAGCCCAGACAATCTCCTCCGAAGATCAGCACTCTTGTGAACTGAACCAATGTTAGCCAGAGCAAGTTCTTGCAACTGGAGTCGCCAAGATAAAAATATGATAAAACGTTAGCCAGAACAACCACACTAAAAGGCACTTGATGAAAGGAAAAAAGGCAACACTAGAAATCCAACCTTATAACTGATTGCGAATCGATAAATATTGGACCATACCTTAGGGATTTTCTTAAAAGCAAGTAGCTGAAAGGCGAAAAACCGGTCATAATGAAATTGAAGTGCTTCATCATCAGTTAACTGTGTTCCATCATGGTCCTTGATCTCAAACTTTTCGTAAAACTGTAATAAGTCAACCAGTTGGGCGAAAAGTTTCCCCTTTTCATGCCTGTATAGGGCACTCAGTCTGCACTTGGCAACAACTGCTACATCGCCCACAATAGGCCTTAGGTACCTGAACCAACAAGATAGATGAGATGTAGAACAAAATATTAGGCCACGCAAATGAATTATATGGAACAGGACTAGACAGCAACCCACCGTATCACAAAAACAATTTACAGATATCATTAAGCTATAATATCCTCCAAATATCCAGTTACCAGTAAAAAAACAGTTTCACATTACTCCTTTAAGTCAATAAATGAAGTCCACAACTCAGGACATGCCATATCACTACCTCCTTGTTGGCAGTTGGTTCAGCAAATCAATGAGAAATTCCATGAACCTCTCGCAGTATAAAATACAGGCATCATCAACTGACTGAATTCCCATAGCACCATCACCCTCATTTCCAAAAACCTCATGATCAAGCACCTGGACAAAAAACAAGATAGGGATTTTGCATCAAACACCATATCAAGGTGTTGACATGAGATATGAAACAAAATATTTGAAGAAGATAGACCACAGTAGTCCAATCAATCAACTAGGAAAAAGTACCTCAATGAACTCCTCTATTAAACCTCGGACAAAATTTGCCTCAAGAGATGATGATGGATCAAATTGCTCACCCCGTTTCTTTGCTTCAGTGACCCACTTCTTCGATAATTTTCTCCACTTTTTTATAAGATCAGGTTGAAGGCAGAGCTCCATCTACAAATGTGAGAAAGACAGATGACGTAAGAGCAATAAAACAAAATCCCACCATCCTCGAAAAATCAGTATACAGAAGGAAGCTCTCACCTGGAAACGTCCATATGACAAACTGTGCCAAGACTCTAAACCTGCTAGACTTAGAACCGTCTCATTAACAATATCATCCTCCAAACTCTGCAATATCAAGCAGTTGAAGCAATGAATCGAAGAATTCTATGACATAAAATATGTAAAACATGAAGAGTAAATAAGAAATTTTGCTCATGCATACAAAGAAAAAATGGACCAGGATATTTTCACTTAGGAGCACAGTGATTGTAACACTGATGCTTAATATCACATGTGTTACTGAAAATCCGATCTTCTAAGAGCATGTGCAGCATTATGATTGTAACATTTTCACCAAACTTAAACGTGACCACATTGAGTTTCAATCCCACAATGATGAATACCGAAAAAGGAAATTATATGCAAGAACACGCAAACCTGGAAAGCATTAATCATGAAGACCAAATAATTTGTCTTCTCGGCAATTGTCAAGTCCCTTCCCTACAGCGTTTAGGAAAAAAAAGAGAAATTAAAAATTTAGTACACTGACTTTATCACTATACCCAAACACGTCTGGAAAAGAAAAAATATAAGTACAAACGTAACACAACTTTCTGTACCCAAACAAATCTAGTAAAGAAAATATTGAAGGCCTTAACGGATGAATCAATTACAGTTTAAAACTATCATAGCTGTCTCTGCTTCAACACACAACGAACATTTGTGTAATGGGTTTGAGGTAATCTTCCCCGAGTAAGAATTAAAGCATAGAGATGCCATCTCAGTAATAGTAGCAGCAAGGGCTAAAGTACAACTTATGGCAAAACAGAATCCAGATTATAAGACAATGGCCTCGACAACAGGCAGGTTAATTATCTCCAAGAAAAATAATCTAAGAACCAAAACCCTCAAGACAAAAACCACAGACCTCTTTAAGGCGCAGAACCCTCCGAAGAAATTTCTTGAACAGATCCTCTCGATCATGAAAGCATGTCCAAGCTGCCACGTTCTCCCGGAACTAGAAACCGAAATTTTATATAAGAATTCTTCCTTAAGTTTACGTAAATTCAGTAATGGAAACAACAGAAACTAAAGATTTCATTTTTTCCCAGTGAACATATTTCTACAGGTTTCTAACATATTTAAGCAATGCCCAAAACGAAGCACTAAGATTCAACAAATTTTCTCAAAGATCCAAGGAGAAATCTAACCTTCTCGTTAATCATCAGAATCATAGACATAACGTGCTCAAAAGTGGCAGTCTCCGGATCGAAATTCGGCCACAGATAGTTCTCCAAGTACTGACTAACTTCCAGAATCATGACTCGCTGCAATGGTACCGGTTTCCGACCACTCGTCACCTTCAGCTCCGTGTCGTAAATCTCCTTCACCAGCACCGGATCGAAGGGCTTCTCCGGCTTCTTCCCTCCGGTCTGAATCCAGTTCTCCGTTGCAATCTTCGTCAACCTGTCTTGCTGAATCTCTGACAAGGTGATCGAGCTGGGCAAAGTAGAACCAGGTTTCGACTCGATGGGCTTGTCGGCGACTTGACTCGACAACTCCACCGGGTACTCAGCCACACGGTGGCGCTTGAAATCGTACGTGCCGGTTCCATAGACCTTCGTCATTTCTACGATAGAGTGAGGTTCAAGACATGCAGACGAAGAAGTTGTTTATGCTAAGAGAAAGTTTTAGGGTTTTTTAGGGTTCTACGATAGAGTGCGGAGATTTATTCGAGGAAGGACGGTGTTCAAATCTCAGGCATACCCGACCCGACCCGACCAAGAGGATTTACGGTTTAGTCCGATCTAGAATTTATTAATAAAATATATTTATATTCAGGAAATAAATATTATTTTTCTTCATGAGTTACCAACGTTAGGTTTACATATATCTATTTTATAACCAAAGTCTAAAATAATTAGTTTCGAAATTATTATTTATAACTAACTGTTAGATTTTTAAATTATAAACTGACTACGCGTACTAGTAAATAAAAACATCTTTAATTTTTAAAACTAAATTTTAAGTACTACAAACAAAATTCAAATATAAAGAACAAAAAAATCTCTGTCTTTGTTATGAATATTTTATATTCCAAATTTTTATTTTTCATTTCTAATTTGATAATGTAGTTGTGATTATCATGCAAAATAATTACTAGATTGAGATACTCCTTTATTTTTAATCATATATAAATTTTTTTAAAATTCAAAAACTAAAAAAATTGGTAATTAAATTTTTATAAATTAATTTTTCTAAAAATTTGAAAAATTATTTTAATGAAAAAAATAACTAAAAACTAAAATATTTCATTATCTGTACAAAAACCAAAATCTAAAATCTAAAAAGCAAAAGCTAAAGCAAAAATTTTAAAATGAAAAATATTACTATTCAAAGTTGGAAGTATCTATGCTAGCGGAGTTCAACGCCTCCATATTCTTAGTTTTTATTAATATTTTTATTTACTATACCAATTTTTAATTTGACAAAAACTTAAATCGGATTTTAAAATTTTCTAATATTCTACACAAAATATAAAAATATATTGTAATTTTCTACATATTTATAAACGACATCAAATTTTGTCAATTTTTATTTCTGACGTAGCCTAACATGTCATTTTTTTTGTCAAATCATCCAATTATGCCAAATTATCATCTCATATCATTAAACAATAAAATTACAAAGAAATTACAATTTAAATAAAAAATAAAATTAAATAAAAAAATTTAGAATTTAAAATTTAAAATAAAAATAAAAATTTGTAAAAATTAAAATTAATTTTTTACATATACATATATACACACATATATACATCTACACATATATATATTCACATATATATACACATGTATATATATACATATTCATATATATATACATATACACATATAGTTACATATATATATATACACACACATATATATACATATACATTCATTCATGCATATATACATATATAAATACATATATACACATAATTTTATTATTTTAATTTTATTTTTTTTAAATTTTTATTAAATTTTATTATTTAATGACGTGTATGGTGATTTGGCGCAATTGGATGATTTGATAAAAAGAATGTGACGTATTCGTAGGGTGAGCATATTATCCGAAAAACCCGAACCGATCTGTTATTCAATCCGTATCCGAATCGAAAATTTAGATATCTGGAATCTACGGATCGGATATGACTTTTAAGATATTTATCGGATACAGATTACGGATATCAAAACTGAATTATTCGACATATCCGATCTGATCTGTATCTTTTAAAAATATTAATAAATATAGGATAATTTTGTAAATAGTTATGATTGTGGGGTCATTTTGAATAAAAAATAAAAGCACTAGACTAGGTTTTTTTTTCAAAGACATCGTTTGTGTTTGTGGAAGTTGTCATTTTCTTTACCTCATCCACCTTTCACAGTTCATCTCTTCGTCTTTCTCTTTCAAATTAATTCATGAGTTTGTTCTTTGTTCTTCATCTTGCATCTGAGAGATTCTCTACTGGAATTTTATTTTTGATTCTCTGGTAAGTAGATTTTGTGAAATGATAATTTTGACAGTCACATCCTCTCTTTCGTCTTCTTAGATTTTTTTTATTCTATCGATTGATTATTGTCCTTCTTGACGGATTTTTCTTCCAAAGGTCCGGACAATTGATGGTTTCAAGTTACAGTCTCATCGTCTTCTAGATTTTTAGAGATTAGCCTCGTTCAAATCGTTTTGTAAAAGAAAATCGATTTTTTTATTCTTCTTCACGAAAAACCAATAGAACGAGTGATTCTCCGTGCCTGTCAATTTGTTTTCGTATTGATCATGACCTAGAACAAATTGCTAATCTCTTCCCCTCTTTTCTTTTTTTCCAACAACAACCGAAAAAAAAATCTAATCTCTGATTCATACTATCATAACTTATGGTAGAACTCATTAGTTCTTTTGAATATGTCGGTGTGTGGTGGATTATGTATTGTTTATGAGTTGGTTTAAGATGATTATGTTATATTTTATTTGTGTTTTTTGAGAGTTTTTAGGATTTTTATTTTTTATTTTTATTAGTTTTATGACGGATACGGATATTTGCGAATATTCGTAGTTTTTGTGGATATTTGAAATAACGGATATCCGAAAACTACAGATCAGATACAGATAATAAAACTTAATATTTGCACGGATCGGATACGGATACGAATACCTAAAAAATTGTGAATATTCGATCTGTGTCCATCCCTACGTGTTAGACCACATAAGTACTAAGATTGACGGAACTTGACGTGATTTATAAATATGTGGGAAATTGCAATATATTTTCAAATTTTATACAGATTTTGGAAATTTTTAAAATTTGATGTACGTTTTTGTCAAATTAAAATTGGTGTAGAAAATGTGGCAATGATGATGTGAACTAAACTAAATATAAGCAAATAAGAATAAAACGGTTAACAATCAATGATTCAAATGTTGTAGGTTTGATATACCTTATGATTTGCATGATAGTCAAAGATGATATGATGTTTATAATGTTCATTTCCAAATGGGAGATTTCAAACATCTTAAATAGAGGTTGTCTCTTCCAAACTTAAACTCACTATCCAAGGAATTGATTTACCCATCTCCCAATGATCTAAATGACCCTTAGATGTATGAATGCTCTCTATCACAAACCCTAGGCAAACAACTATTTGATATTTAGTTCCAAACAATATTTCCATATCCCTATGATCAATGTGTTCTACTATCATACCAACTATGATTTCGCCAATGGTACACCCTGATTTTTTTTAAAAAAAAATAGACACGATCGAACGATCGTGTTAGATGCAAAATCATTACAAACGGCCGAAAATCGAGTCGTTGCTAAGGGGTCGTACACGCACCAACGCGACAAGCTTCTCCCTAATCTCCACTCAATCCATCCTTAAATCACACTCGGGACGGAAGAGAAAAAACATACAGAGAAGGAGATAGAGAGAGAACGGAAGAGAGACAGAGAGCGTGTGAGAGAGTGGAGACAAAAGAGGAGACATCGGCGAAATCGTGTGCCCGAAGCAACGTTGGCAATACAGACGCAAAGAGGACTCACATGCAAAACTCATATGATGGAGATGCAGTCAAAAACACCAGAAAATTTGACCGAAAACGAATGGTTCGAAGTGAGTGGTCTAGTTTGCTTCGGTGAACTGTTTCTTGTTGGTTTAGTGCTCTGATACGTGTGTACGGAGTCTAAAATCTATAACCCGATTCACAACTCACCGCAAGGATACGGATCGTCGTAACGGGGTCGAACACAAGGACCGGTTGCTAAATCTAAATCTAATCGAGACTAAATCAAAGCAAGTAGAAGTGAAAGTGATGGTGGAAGTATATGGAAAGAATAGAAATAAGGAAGCAAAACAATAAAAATGAGTAAATTAGCTATCTAAGATGACCGAGGGTGTCGGGACCGTATTCGCGTGTATGGGTATATGCTAAGCATGCGAGAATCACGATATTGAATTTGTATTCGG